ACATAGTTACTTTATAACCTTTACCAATAATTATTCTTGGTACGGGCACGTGTATATAATGAAACATAAGTTTAAATCATTCTAGAAGTTCAAAGAATTTACACAAGAAATAGCTTAGGAGAAGTTTTAGGAGGGGGTTGGCTAAGTGATTAGGAACATGAGAGAGAGGGAGTTGGAGTGGGGTTAACTTTGGATGTTGGGGCCCAACAACATAGGCTATTGGGACAGTTTCTGGGTTGGGTACTTTTTGGGCAGTTCACCTATTCACGCCCATGCTTTGGTTTTTAGTAAAAATAAATTAAGATGTAATTACTAATTTACCCATTCTAATGGTAATGTGGCATTTCCAGAAATTCTCTCAACAGCATAGGCTGTTGGCCCCCAACGGCTAAAGTTCTTCCATTGGAGTGGGACTCTAGTGAAGAGGAGAGGGCTACCACATGGCTACATGGAAGGATTGGGAAGGGGTAAGAGAAGAAGGGGATAGAGGTAATGAAAAATCATGATTGGAGTAATGGAGCAAGGAAAGGACTGCTGAGGTGGCCTATAGTGTTTCCTTGGTTCAATGGACTAACACAATGGGGGTAGCCCCTCCCCTATACCCATAACCTCCCAAGCCCTGGTGGTAGCAGGATTAGATCCCAAGTCTCTATTTAAACAAGCTAACGACCATACCAACTGAGCCACCTATTAATTGGCAACGTCCCCTATAGCTTGACCTTTGAGAAACATCCCCTACCATTTCGTGTAAATTTATTATAATGCCTTTATTAATTACTATATTAATTCCATTACCTTATTTATCTAGATTAATGATTTATCTAATTAACATAGATTAATGGATAAATTACTTAAGCCTCCCCTAATAGTTTAACCTCTACAAAAAATCTCCCTGACATTTGGTGTAAAATTATCATAATGCCTCTATTAATTACTAAATCAATTTAATCAGCTTAATAACTAGATTTGTTCACAACCTGGGCTTTTTAGGCTTAACTTTACACTGTTTTGGGCTCGGGCTTCAAACTTGGTACATTCAAATTTTGGCAAAAGCTAATCCCAAGTCCAGCCCATTGACAAGTCTATTAATAACTTAGGTTAATGGGTAAAATACTTAAATTAATTATTAAATTACTTAACTCAGAGTTATTTTAATTAACTTAGGTCAATGGATAAGTTACTTAAGCTTCCCTAGAGTTTCAATTCTATAAAATCCTTCCTTGGTATATGGAACAAAATTACATAAAGACCTTACTTAAGCCTCCCCTATAGTTTCACTTTGATAAAAATTAATATTTATCTTTGTTACATGAGTTTTAATAAGAATACCGAAATTATTAGTATTCTTGTTATCATCATCATCATTATCATTGTTGTCATCGTCTTCGTCATTTCAAAATACAATGTGCAATTGAAGTAGTAGTAGTAGTAATGATAATAATATATAATGACAATGATACAACAAAAATGAACAGCAATAAAATGATGTATCATCATCATTATTTTGTAGGGCAGATTGGCCAAGTGAAATTGCCATATGCATCATTAATTGATATAATGATGTTCCATCATCATCACTTGTTAGATGCATCTTTCTTACTAGTAATTAATAAATTTAAAAACTAGATAAAAATATAATAACTTGTAAGAAATATATAAATGTTGTATAAAAGTTATGGGCACATCTCTAATATTATAAATTCATTATATTATAAATATAAATGTGATAAATAAAAATTATTTGCATTAATGATGAAAGTGGAATACAAATTAGAAAAAAAGAATTAATGTTGAACTTGGAACCCAGTAAATTAATCAAATGGTTTAATGTTCAACTATAGTTAGATCAATATTTTGATGACTACGTTAATGGTTTTCTATAGGCAAACAGTTTAGTGGTAAATAGACACCAAATCTTGGTTGGGGTGATTAGTCAACCAATTTGATAAATTAAGTTGACTATAAGGATAAGAACCACAATAAAAAATCAATGTACTAAAAAACAATTGGAATCACATTTCTCTTTTAGTCAATCAAGCTAACTTATTATGTTAAATATTATATAATAAAAATACTATAAAATTTGTAAAACATTTGAGCATATTTTTAATATTATATAAAACAAAAGTTTGTGTAAAAAATGAGAATGATTATTATTAATGTTGAAAAATGTTAAAAAAAATTAACGTCTTATCCATGGCTCATTTACAAGGCAATAAATCATTCGATTGTTAACCAAGCTAATATAAAGATTTAAAGCTAACTATATATTTAGTTTGAAAGGTAATAAATCTACCAATACACCATGCTTTGATTACATGGGTTTTCATCAGCATCTTTTCAAATTGTTATAGTAGTAGTAGTAATGATTAATAATGCAACAAAAATAACATCTATAGAATGATTATGATGTATCATTATCATTATTGTCATCATCAACAGCTTGTAGATGCATCTATCTTACTATTAAATAATAAAAATTTTAAAAGTAGATAGAAATATAATAAATTGTAAGAAATATAAAATTTGTTTTATAATATTTAGTATATTATATATTTACCATATTAAAAATTAGTAAAAATGAGAATTAATGTTGAACTTGTGACCCACTAAATGGATCAAATGATTTAATGCTTAATTAGTCAGGTCAACATTTTGTTACCAAAGCTCAATGGTATTTTTAAAGTAAGCAATTTAGTGGTAAATATACCCAAGAATTTAGTTGGGGTGATAAGTTAACCAATTTGACAAGTCTATTTGACTGGAAGATAATAAGCATTAATAAAAAACAATGTTTTAACTTATATTATAAAATTTATAGAATGTTTGAGCATGTATATAAAAACAAATGTGTAAAAAATGAAAACAATTATTGTTAATGGTGGAAAATGGCTAAAGCACAAAGGAAAAAATTATTTTAATGTCTTATCCATGGTTCATTATTTCATTTACATGGTTACAACCGATAAGGTCATCTAATCGTTGACCAAGCAAATAACTTTAATAGCATATAAACCTACATTTTTTAAATATCCCTTAAAAACAAAACTGATATTTTTAAGTGGTAGCTAAGTAGTTAAACCATTTAGGTTAAACAAGTGAATTCATAATGCCATAATTAAATACTAAAAAATTCAAAATAGATAAAAATACAAAAACCAAAGAGAATTTGTACAAAATTTTGGGCATATCTCTAATATTATTTATTCACATTAAAAACCAAATATGATAAATAAAAAGTATTTTTTTTGTTGATGATAGAAATAGAATACAAAATCTAAAACCAACCTAGAGATGTAATTATTTTCCTAAGTGGTGGGTCAATGGATAGGGGTGGCTCAGCCCGACCTAGCACGATGTGGGCTATGCTTGGACCATGGGTTAAAGTGTCATACTGTTCCACGCATGGCCCACACCCCTCTCCCTTTCCAATAGACAATTTAGCCCTAAGTGGCCATAAATGACATAAATGCCTCCCCCCAATAGCTATAAACAACTAGTTAACCTTGAAGATGCCCATAACAGCTATAAACAACTAGTTTGGGTGCATTTTGATCAAGTGATAAAAGAATTTTATAAGAACTCCAAAAAGATCAAAAGAATTTTATAAATAATATATATACACTATATAATTGATTTGACCACAATATTAAAAATCAATGTTCAAACAATATATTGGAATTGCATTTTCTCTTGGTAAATAAGTAATTTTTATTATCTCATAAATTAAATAATAAAAAATAATAATATAGATTTTTTTATAAATTTTATAATAAAATTTGAATATACATTAATATTATATATTCTTCATATTAAACAAAAATATGTTTATAAAATGAGAATTATTGTTACCAAATATAGGAATGGCTAAAATACAAAGAAAAAATGAATTAATGTATTAGTCATAGCCCATTTTCCTTGTTAAATAGGTTAACGGTTCAACTAGTAAGGTCCTTTGGTTATTGATTATTATCATCATCATCATTTGATATTGCCACGTGCAAAAATATATGCAAAAATAAGAATTACTTTTATTGATGTTGAAAATGTAAGACATGATTTCAAATCAACCCAAAAAGAAAAAAATGGTTTTTCAATCCAAGTGGTGGGCTAGTGGTTCAACTACCCATGTCAAATGGATCAACACATGATGTTATTATTAAATAATAAAATACATAAAATTATAAAAAATGTAGAAATTTGTTGATAATTTTGGGTACATTCTACAATATTATATATTCATCATATAAAAAAGTGCGACTAATGAGAATTATTTTCATTAATGATAGAAATGGGATAAAAATTAGGATAAAAAAATAAAGAGCATTAATGTCTAACACATGACCCCACTAACCATGTCAAATGGCTAAATGATTTAATTAGGTAGGTCATTGTAGGCAAGTGGTTTGGTAGGAATGCAAACAGATTGGATCGGATTTGAATCAAGGTATATTCGAATTCGATTCGATCCGAAGGTCTGATCGAATCTCATAAATATTGATTCGAATCTGAATTTGATCAATATGTTGGATATCTTTTTTTTGGTAGAAATATGTTGGATATCCGAATCTGAGACAATCCGATTTAATTTGAAAAAATATTAAATTATTAAAAGGAAAAGAAAATATACTAGTTGAAATAAAGAAAAACAAAAAATATAAGTATTTTGTATATTATAAATTTTATAAAAAATATAGAATTTTGTATAAATTTTATAGAAAAATTTGAACATGCATTAATATTATATATTTTTCATATTAAACAAAAATATGTTTGAAAAACAAGAAATATTGTTAGTAAAAATAGAAATGGCTAAAATACAAAGAAAAAAATGAATTAATGTCTTAATCATAGTTCATTTTCCTTGTTAAATAGGTTAATTGTTCAACCAATAAGATCATTTGTTTGCTAACTATTATCATCATCATCATTTGATATTATTACCATAAAAGAAAATGCCCCAAAACAAGAATCTTAAATAACTTAAAGAACTCCTCATCATCCATTGCCGGCATTCAACAAAGCATAAACCCAACAAAGTAGCAGACAAGCCAATAGCCATGTCTTGTTCCGAAGCCACTAGGCCCTTTCCTATCAAAACCGTGGTGGTTTTGATTCAAGAAAACCGTTCCTTCGATCATATGTTGGGATGGATGAAGACCCTTAACCCAGAAATCGATGGTGTTTCATCAGCAGACGAATTCTACAACTCTCTTTCCACAACCGATCCAAGCTCGAAGAAGGTTTACTTCGGGGACCAGTCTAACTATATTGACCCTGACCCGGCTCACTCGTTCCAGGCCATCTGTGAACAAGTCTTTGGCTCACCTTGGGGACAGTCTTCTTCAGGTGATGAGCAGGTTGTCAAGATGAATGGGTTTGCTCAGAATGCAGAGACCACACGGAAAGGTCTGTCGGACACAGTCATGAATGGTTTTAGGCCCGAAGCCCTACCAGTTTACAGGGAACTGGTTTCGCAGTTTGCTGTGTGTGATCATTGGTTCTCTTCAGCCCCCACTTTTACACAGCCGAACAGGCTGTTTGTGCATTCTGCAACTTCGCATGGTTTAATCACCAATGACGTGAAGAAGCTGGTCGAAGGTTTTCCACAGAAGACGATCTTCGACTCACTGGATGAGGCTGGGTTCACTTTCGGAATATATAATCAGCAATTTCCTTTTACGTTGTTCTACAGGTGACGACCCTCCTCTCCATTTTTATCTGTTTGGCTTGTGAGTTGTGACCGTAGGGGTGTCAATTGGACTGGATTTGGTCCAATCCGATCTAGTCCAATGTGAGCCCATTATAAATGGATCAGGTCCAATTCAATCCATTGAATGTTTTGGACCAATTTGGATCGGTCCAATTCAATGTTTGAACCATCCAATCTGTTCAAATTCATTTTGATTTACATTGGTTTCAATTCAAACCCGGTCCATTGACACATATATTCTTATCTTATATCAATGGACTAGATATTGGCTTAATCCAACCCAATCCAATATAAATTTGTTACAGATGATAGACCAGGTCCAATCCAATCTAATAAATATTTTGGACCGGATTGATTCAATCCAATATGTCTTATTGATCCATCCAATCCATCCAAATTGATTTTGGACTGGACGGATCCAATCCAAAACCAGCCATTGACACCCTTACTTGTGAGCTTTACTTCCTTCACTGTTTGGATTTAGATCCAATAACAGCGCCTCACATACGCGAAGCCCAAAGATGTTGCGCTCATGGAAGTTGGACGCTGTCTCTCTCATTGAATATATTGGTTGTTGGTTAATTTGTTTGTTGCATGGAATAGAAAATCCATTTAGGCTCAATTTGAAAAGAGTACAAATACAAATACATACAAAAAAATATAAAATACAAGGTTTTGCACTCTACATATTTGTATTTGTACTCCTTCCAATTAGAAAGAATACAAATACTAATTCTGATACGGATGATTCAAAGTATGGATTGTATAAGATAGATGAATCAGTATTTAATCATACATCTTTTATTTTATTTATTTTTTCTTTTTCAAAATTTAGTTTTAAATATAATTATATATTATTTAATATAAAAAGAAATTCAAAAAAAAACACCTATAAACAAGTGTATCAACACCCAAAGATACCATATGCCCTGTATCACATCAATATATTAAGAATTCCACGGACAGAAATCCAATGGTTATTACTTATTAGCAAGTCTCATGTGAGTATCCTCCTAATTTGGATATAAAACCAACTATTCACATGGTCTTATGCTTAAGTATACACAGGACCAACTCAACCTTTCTCAACTTTCATATCAACCCAACAAGGCCTTATCCCAACTGTTTGAGGGCAGGTTTTAAGCGTTTTTAGAACCATATGATGAATTCTTGAAAATTTTGGTGTGTTGCAACTTCTTTTATATGTCGTGGTTGGTATTTGTGGGAAAAAAAACATAGAAGCAAAATTTCATAGTGGGAATCCGGGGTTTAGGGTTTCTAAGAAAAATAAGGAGGTTTGTACAACATTGCATTCTTCACCTATGGATGTAGGCCATAAATCAAACCATGTAAATCTTTATATGCATTCTTGAATTTGTTTTACTGTAATAATGTTCTTGATGAGGTCGTATCAGCTATGCAGTACTTACACATACCCACAAAGACACTAAAACATGGGAAACATTTTATAGGCTTGTGGGTAGTGTTTGTGGGTAGCAGATTCAAACTCGTTTCTTATGTGAATATGTAGTGTTTTGTGGGTAGTATATGGAATTTGTTCTCAATGTGCCGCTGTAGTGTCTTGTGTGTAAACAGAGATCACATCTCTGCCCCACAGCACATTTCCGCCGTGTATTTAGAACATCTATCTCCTGATGATAGTACCAGAATCGATGATGTCATCATCGGAGATGTTCCCAATACACAGCAGGGATGTGTTGTGGGGCAGCCCCTTGTGGGGCGAAGATGTGAACTCGTGTAAATAGGGTGTGGGACCCAGATTCAGACTCTAATCTAATTGCTTAAAATAACGTTTTAAAAAGCGACCCGAAAATAGAACCGTTTTGGGCACCGGTTTCCGGGTCACCAACCGTCCGGTTCGAACGAATGACCCGTTTTGACAATAAAATTAAAAAATTGAAAAAAATAAAAATGGTCAAAAACCGTTGAACGGATCGACCGCTTGAGACAACGGTTTATTAATTTTTTCAACAGTTTTTTACCAGATTCCGAATTTGAGGTAAAATGGAACCGGTTGCCTGAACAGTTTCTGGGCCGAACGGTCCGACCGTCCAGGTCAACAACGGTTCGAAAACGTTGGCTTAAAATGATCTTTTCATCAAATTAAGTTACCTCCTTGCATATTGATGAAGTACAGTTGAAACCCACACTGATGCACAGAATTTTTAGACTAATTAGACTAAGAAAAAATATGAAATTTGAAATGAGTATTAATTCAATACCATTGGCAACCATTTTTGTGTACAATTTCAATTTCTTAAATGCCTTGATATATATGAGTCCTGGCTATGACTCAGTCAAGCTTTTTTTAATTCAATTTCTTATTTCGTACGTGTTTTATTAATCAAATTTTCATTGTTGACAGGAACCTTAGGAAACACAAGTACAAGAATAATTTCCATAACTTTGACGTTGAATTCAAGAGTCACTGCAAAGAGGGGAAGTTGCCTAACTATGTGGTGATTGAACAACGATATTTTGATTTAATATTGTTGCCAGCAAACGATGATCACCCCCCACACGATGTATCACAGGGGCAAAAATTTGTGAAGGAGGTTTATGAGGCACTGAGAACAAGTCCGCAGTGGAATGAAATCTTATTCATAATCACATACGATGAGCATGGCGGATTCTATGACCATGTCCCAACTCCTACTGGAGTCCCCAGCCCAGATGACATTGCAAGTCCTGAGCCATTTAACTTCAATTTTGATCGCCTTGGCGTTCGGGTGCCTACGATCTTCATTTCTCCATGGATTGAGCGAGGAACAGGTAAGAATAGGGGTAAGCATAGGTCGGTTCGGTTTAGTTCAGTTTTATGGTAGAACCTAGAACCTACCTTATAGCTAGGAGTTGATTACAGATTTTTAGAATCGGAACCTATCCTGCGGAAGTTAGTTCCAAGGTCAGTTTTGGCGGTTTTAGGGTTGGTTCTAGGTCTACCCCGGAAGCCTGTTATTTCTTTACACTTTTCCTTAAAAAATGAATTACGTTCTTTAAAAACTTTATTTTCAATAAATATTATATATAATTTAAAACTTATACTATCTTTATTAATTAAATTGAGTAATTTAATATGTAGATCATCATAATATTTTAATATATGGTTTAAAACTTTTCATCTTAATTTAAATTTGTAAACATTAAATTTTACATTACTTATAACAAAACAAATGATCAAATCACTTAAGTAACTCAATGGTCAAGTGAGACCATGGCCATTTCAACTATGAGTTCTTGTGTTCAAATTGATCTTCACACCCTTAAAAAGTATTTTGGAGTTTATTTCATGGCAAATTCGGTTCCAAGGCTAACCAAGGCTGGTTAGGGTAGGGTAAACCCCCTAGACCTTGGAATTGGCTAGGGTGGTGATCTTCGGTTCTAAGAATTTCGAACCAGACCCTATCCTGTAACAGATTGTATAGGGCCAGTTACATTCTAGGCTGGTTCAAAGTCAGTTCCATTTGGTTTTAGGTAGAACCTACCCATTTTCTCACCCCCTAGGTAAGAGAAACTTGGCTTAAATTTGAAGCATATTATTAGATGCATGTGTTTAAACAACCTAATCACTAGCTTGCCAATGTAAGTGCAGTGCTACACAGACCTTTAGGACCATATCTTTCTTCAGAGTTCGAACACTCTTCCATTCCAGCAACAGTGAAGAAGATTTTCAACCTGAAAGAGTTTTTGACAAAGCGTGATGCATGGGCTGGAACTTTTGAGACTGTTTTGATGAGGGAGAGTCCAAGAACAGACTGCCCAGGTGAAATTATTCCACTTTGTTGTTGCCACTAAGGGCTTGATCTTTTTTTTTTTTTAATTTTAAGAGAAGGAAGTTGATCAATGGGATTTTGGTTGTTCCTATCGACCAAGATACCCATGTTCTTCTTTGAGATTCATATAGGGCCCATAGAAAATTTATTTTCCATAGGTATCTCCCAAGTGGGTAACTTTCCCACTTGGGAGGGGAGGGGGAGTTGCCAACAGTTTGGATGGGACAAAATTGTCCCTTTTAATAGCAGCTTTTTATGGCTAAAATCATTTTTTATTTACTTAGAAAAAAAAAACATGGTCAAATACACTTACCTGGATAAATATTTCTCATGCAATTTGCAGTAACTCTGCCCCTGCCGCTACAATCCCTGAAATTGCAACTAGGTGATGCAAATGAAAGAGCAAATCTAAGCGAGTTTCAAGCAGAGCTGGTGCGAGTGGCAGCTACACTAAAGAGGGACTATAAAAAAGACATTTATCCAGAGAAGCTAGTAGTGGACATGACGGTTAAAGATGCTGCCGCTTACTGTGAAGATGCCTTCAAGAAATTCTTAGAAGGATGTGGGAATGCCCAGAATGGGGCTGGTGAGTCTAAGATTATTCTGTTACCAGCTTCACCATGACTATCACACGCCTCCTAAGAGTGGACTCCACTCGCATAACCACCTTCAATAGGTCAAAGTCCTTCACCCACGAAATGTTTGCTTGTTTTGTTTGCAGTAATAAAAATTAAATTATCATTTCATGAAATACATTAGATCTTCTATATTTCTAGAATCTAGAGGTAGACCGAGTGGTTTATATTATAAATCACATTTTCATGTACAAAATTCCTTCCATTATTAATCATCTTCTTGGTATTATATATTGCATATTAGTAGTTGGGACCCATGTGTGTGTGATGCTGTTCAATCTTAGGTGGTGCACGAACTAAGAAGAGCAACCAGATAATCCTTGTTGACTGGACGGTGCCGTGCTATGTAACCTGTGATCAAGAAAAGAAGTTAGAGGCTTGAGGAGTTGTCCCTAGGTAGACACTCCGATCCTCAAGTCAGTGAGAGGGCGGTGAATGGTCGGGCCGAGCAATGAGGTTTCTAGTTCGAGCAAGATAACAATGTGAGTGCTAGAGGTCCAAATCCCTTACCTTGAGCATGGAGAACCTTGTTATAGTCGGGGTTTCATCTCCTGGTCGGATTAGGCTTCCGGGGAGATCGGGATGGAGTTCTTCGCCGAGGGTACCGGGGCAGAGTCCTACTCCTCGGCAGAGTTGTCTTCCCACCCCCTTATCTGCGGTTGATATTATTCGTGGGGCATGTAGTAGACGTGGTTGGAGGGATGAGACGAGGGGTGGGGGTACGATAATAACATAGCTCGGCCAAGCTGAGCCAACGTGGCCAGCTATGCCGACGTGGCCGAGCTACGCTGACATGGCTGGGCGGTGACTAGGCGGCCACTAGACCTGTTCATGAGTCGGGCCGGGCCGGGCTCGGACCAGGCTTTCACTCTGTATTAACAGATTTTTCTAAGGCCTGAGCCCGAGCCCGGCCCTCATAAAAAGCCCAAAGCCCGGGCTTGGGCCCGAGCCCGAAATTTATCCCATGTTGTTACTACTACTGAAGCAACTGAATAGAGAGAGAGAGAAAGAAATTATAAAGAAAAAAAAATAAAAAAATGTATATATTAAATTATATATATATATATTTCAATAAATATTATATTATTTATATATTTTATATCATATATAAAATACATATTATGTATTTTATAAAATATATAATGCTGAGTTGGGCCGGGCCAGGCTTGGGACGGGCTTTTTTGACAAATCCCGAGCCCAGCCCGTAACACAGTCGGGCTTATTGTGTTAGGCCCGCGGGCCTAATTACATGACCAAGCCCGACCGGGGTGCGGGCCGGGCCATCGGGCTACCTGGCCCATGAACAGGTCTAGCAGCCATGTGTCTCTCAGGGCCAACTCAGCCATGACCCCAACACCACTTCCCTAGTTCTAAAGTTGAGGGACGAGGTTCCCCTGGTTCATAGTTCGGCTGAGGAACTTTCGAGTTTTTGTCTGCTTCTCTCGCTATCCGTGTAGTGTTGGTCGTTGCCGAGGAATCCTCCGATCGTCGGCTGCAAAACTTAAATAAAAACCGAAATTTTGGTTCCCGAACAACTCCCCCAATTCTGCTATCGAGGAGGGGAATGCTCAGTCGGACTGTTGCACGGCCGTGTAACCTTGTCTGGCATCGGGGCTCGATTCCAGTCGGTGTTGAGCATTCTGGTTGGGTCAGCATTCCTAGGCGGCCCACCAAGGATCCGCATAGGAGGTTGAACCAGTACTGAGGGTCAAACCAGCACAATTAATGGTCGTAACCGTTGCATGTCGAGGTCATCGCTTCGATTTTTGATGCTTCGCGCATGCATCATCAATCGCGTCGATTGGTCTTCTGAGGCGTTGTCGGAGGTGCTTCATCTGTACTGTTGATCTCTCCTTGATCCATGCCCCTGGTGGCTATAAAAGAAGGGGGGGACCCCCCTATGTCATTTGCGAGGAAGGTAGCTTGAATTGCTTAGCGGGGTGTGGTGCGATTGCTCGGCGGTGGTTGCTTGGTGGTAATTGCTCGGTGGTTTTCCATTCCTTGGCTCGGTATGTCTTCCTCATCCCGTCTATCCTCTTCCTCTTCCATGTCCTCTAGTAGTGGTTCTGGTTCTAGCTCTTCCCATGGCTCCAACTATGAGCCGGAGCTGAGGGATTTTGTGGTTGTCGAAGTCGAGGAGGTTGAGGTTGGCCCTTCAAGGACGGAAGCGGAACTTCCCCTACGGTCAGGTCGCCAATTTGGAACCACTGAAGGGATGAGAGATCCATCATATGGATGACCGAACCCTGTAGGAAGGTTGGGGGAAATTTCAAAAATTCCTCTCTCTCCCGTCTAAGAATCACATTCCCTATTTTAGAAAATTGCATTTTCAAGGATCATTCATGAAACAAAACCGGACCATATCTGAAACCAAAGGGAGGAGAGGGGTATACCTGATACAAAGTAACAGTAACTCCCAATGAAGGTGTTCATGCCCAAGGAGAAAATCAAAACCTGCTTCCACTGAAGATGACACAATGTGTGGTGAAGCAGGATCAGTAGGACGTCTCTTCAGCAAAAATGGAGTAAAGGGCTGGTAAGCACGACTTCAGGTTGTTTCTTCAGCCAAGAAACAATATCAAGAACTCTTCTTGATTAGTTCCACAGGTGGATATCAAACTAGGTAGGGATAGCAAGAACAAGGAGAGAATTCTGCAGATTGATGTATATCAGACTGAGGAATTTGCCCCCTATTTATATTCTTCTTTGGATCAGCCTCCTAATCTAATTAGGAGAGAGTTTCTTGATCCAAATTTGATATTTGGATCTGGACTCTAAAATGGATAAGACTTATCTTATCTTTTCAGCTAATCCTAATCAGATTATAAATCATATCTTGCTCCCTTTTAATTAACTAATTTAAGCCCACTTCGAATTGGGCTTTTAGGCCCATTAAGCTTTTGTGCTCACTTACCTTTTAACCTACTGCCTAGTTGGCTCTCTTTGTATGGCGTGGGACCCTTACATCGATCTACACATCAGCCACATGGGTTCAGCTCAGCCTTTGTTATAAGGCCTGGCCGAATTCACAGTAGGAGATAGTGAACCCCTGAGTCCATCACCATGGGCTCTTAATGGGCCCAACATTTACACTAAATGGTCCTTAAATCCAACCACCTTATGGAAACCCAAGGACTGTGGGCAGATGCAAGATTAGATCATCAGGTATTACCCTCAATGGTCTTACACTTAACATCTCAACCCATAATGATCAAACACTGTCCGACAAGAGAGGACCTCTCCCTCGGCTGCATAGAACAGTGTTGCACTCTCTACTTATATGAATCCCGGGAATTAAAACCTTTTGCAAACATTCTGAAATCATATATATATATATTGCAAAAAACACTTTGTCCGACAGAGAGAGTACATCATCGATCTTCACTTTGTCCGACAAAGGGGCTAATCTTGTCACTATGATCAACCACTCAGATGAATTCTCGGACTGTCCCAACATACCCAGGTTTTGACCCCCTCTAAGGATCTCACTGATTGGCATATCAAAGACAGCCCAATCTGACACCTAGTGCAGTACCATAATCGAGTCTAGGGGTTAGGTGTAACATTCCAGTTTTGTCCATTTGTCTCTAAGGTCCAGTGCAATACTGGAATTTCGGTCCGATTCAGGGTTTCAAGAAAACCCACACTGCATGTACCTCAGGTCTCACCCTAGTAGCTGAGACAAGCCACCCCAACCAACTTGGCGGCACATCAATGTCAGCCTTGGTAGAATAAATCTCCCCAGATCTATCCAACGGCTGTGAAGATTCTAAACTAACACTAGTCTCATAGGTGTCCAGTTTAAGGGTATTACACAAAAACATACCAAAACCATAAATCAATTATGTACTTTTGTTCATTTACAATAAATGTCATCAAGTACATCAATCTGATTTGAGCGAAGGGCATACACTGTTTAACAACCACGCCCTGCGTCTTGATGCCCGGGGATATGGCTCGGATCCGAGCTATGTACGTCATCCCCAGAGAGTTCTAAATGAGGTGCCTGCATCCCGGCAAAATGGCCACTGATGCTCAGCCCGGCGAGATATGTGTGTGCGAGCATAGCTTGGAGGCTGGGCTGAGGTTCCCATTAAGCGACGAGGTCGCTGAGGTACTAGGCTGGTATAGGGTGTTGTCGGTGCAGTTGATGCCAAACTCTTTCCGGTTCTCGCTCGGCCTCATGTCCTACTGTGCAGTCCGTGATAGCAAGCTGACCCTGGGGATGGTGAGCTTTATGCTTCAGCTAAAGCACCATCAACAGGGCTACTACTGTTTCTCTAGTAGGCGTAATGTCCGGTCCTTGATTGGGGCTCCTTCTATGAAGCACTGAAAGGAGTCATTATTGTTCATGCATATTCCCGGGGTCTCCCTTTTTCGGTCAAGCTATGGGAGCCGAGGACAAATGTGTCACAGCCCTAGTGTACAGGCCTACTTGGGAAGAGAGGTCAGCCCTAAGCATGATCCATGAAATAGATGTTATCGTGTACACATGCTCAGAGATACTAATGCTCGTCGGGTTGATGGAGAGGGTGGCTGGTCTGTTTCCTTTACTGCTTGTTTGCTAAGTTACTATTCCCTCATTTGCTTTCTACTTATCTCGGGCATTCTGTGTTGCAGGTATAAGGATGACCAGCGAAGAAGAGATTGTTCATCGGATGAGGGCACTTCGGCAGAGGAAGGGGCGAGCTGGTGCACAGTGGGTGGCTGGGCCCGAGGCATCGGACCAGCCATGATCTGCAAGTAGGGTGGCCCATCGACATAGGAGAGTTTGGCAGCAGGAGGCCGAGGAGGACGATGTTGTCGTAGTTGACCCTGAAGGGGTTTGTCGTCCTATGGGTGCGTCGGGAACAGAAATGGGCGGGAGCAGCTCGGGCTTGCACATGCCGCGGTGGTCGGTTCATGTTGACGATAACTTGGAGAGGTCTGGGGTTCCCGAGCAGTTGCTACGAGAGATTATGACTATGTCAATGTTTCAGGAGTCGGTCGGGGTCGGTAGTGGAACCTTAGAGTGCGCGCTTCTATGGTCTGCTACCCAGGTGAGTTCCTTTCTTTATTATCCCTTGTGTTTTTTTTTTTTTTTTCAGGCATATACTCATCGTTGTCTTCTGTAGAATGCTTGTACAGCAGTCATGTTGGTCGACCATCTCCGAGACCTTCAATCGTTATACGAGCAACAATACTCCGAGTATCTACGACAGAAGGCCCAGCCGACTGAACTTCAAGTTGTCGGGGAGCGGTCGGTCGTGCTAGAGAGGGAGGTGGCTGAGCAGGCCAGCATTGTCCAGAGGCTGAAGCAAGAGATCACTGAGCTTAAGGCGGAGCAGGAGAGGTTGAGGCAGGAGGCTGCTGAAGAGGTCGTTGACCGGTACAAGGCGTCGGAAGAAATGAAGCTACAAATGGACGAGTATGCCAAGGCCTCCTTTGAGGCTGGATTTAACGTCTTCCACCAAAGGGTCCTTCGCCACTACCCGGAGCTGATCGAGGTGTTGCAAGGCTAGAGAGCTTATGATCCAAACACTCCCCCAGGTTCCGCCGAGGATGCCGGCGAGGAGGCCGGGGACGAGGTTGATGCTAGTGAAGGGGCTACTGACTCTGCTACCGAGGATTGATCGGCCATTTCTTTCAAGTTGTGCTTTTTCTTTGTGTTGGGTTCTCTCCTCTTTTTTCTGTATCAGATAGGTATGCTGAGCCTTAAACGATGTAGCAGACCATTTTCAGATTGAATATAAGTTCTTTTTGTTGACTATGTATGTGCGTCCCGTTGCTATTGTGCGTTCTTTTTACTTGTGCATTTTTCTTTTGCTAGCCGAGGCATGGCCGACCGGGTTATCGCATGCCGAACCAGGCTATGCTTTGGTGTCCTCGGCCTTTTGCCGACCGAGGTGTGGTTGGACGAGATCTTTTGGTTTTTGAGCTCTCAGCCATGGGATGCTTAGTTTCTGGTCTCGGGAGCCTTTAGGGCCCTTATAGGGCTAGCCGTTTCCCAGCTAGCTCAGTCGTTAGTCGACGATTATACGGAGTTCCATGATAGCCCTCAAGCCTAGGTGGGCGGGGGCGTTCTTTCTCTACATTTAGGCTCAGCTATGGTTAGCTTAGTCGAGTAGCTTAGCCGGCGATAAGCTGCCGAACTAGGCGTTATGGGCTCGACCATTCTAGGGTCGGTAGAGTCAACTTGGTCGGTAATGCAGCTTGGCCTGTGCATGTGTAGTGTGTTCGGTGAGCGTGTATGTGCCTAGGGATCGAAAATGTAGCTTGAAAAATAGAAACTTTTATTGCTTGTAGATCTATTGGTAGTACATCTTGAGATTTCCCGAGTTCCAACTCCTCAGAATTGGTCGGCCTTCGAGGTCTTCGAGTTTATAAGTGCCCGATCCAAGGACCCTAGTGATTCTGTACGACCCTTCCCAATTTGGTCTGAGCTTGCCTTCACCGGGTGCAGGGACTATGACTCTGCGTAGGATGAAGGTGCCTGTCTTGAATTCTCGTCTTCTGACCTTAGATTCGTAGTGCTTTGCCATCCTTTGTTGTTGTGCGGCCATTCTTACATGTGCTCGGTCCTGGGCTTCTTCTACTAGGTCCAATTCTGCACACAGATCTTCGTCATTCTGCCCCTCGTTGAATAGCTCGTTCTGGAGAGTTGGGGAACCTATCACCACAAGGACTATGGCCTCGACCCCGTAGGTCATGCTAAAGGGGTATCTCTAGTGGCGGTCCGCAGGGTCATCCTGTATGCCCAAAGTATGCTCGACAGCTCCTCAACCCACATTCCCTTGGCTTGATCTAGGTGCGTTTTCAGGTCGTGTAGTAGGGTTCGGTTGGTTACCTCAGTCAACCCATTACTCTGGGGTCGGTGCACTGTGGTAGCCCAATGAATGATCCTTAGGTCGGCATAGAGGGCTTTGAACTTTTTGTCGGTGAACTAGGTCCCATTGTCCGTGATGAGCATACGAGGGATGCCGAAGCGACAGACAATACCCTGCCAAAAGAAGTTTCAGGCATTATGGGCGGTGATGCATGCCAGGCTTCGGCTTCCACCCCCTTTGTGAAGTAGTCCACTACTACAAGAAGGAATTTCTTCTATGCAACCGCAGTGGGAAAGGGGTCGAGGATGTTCATTCACCATTGGGCAAACGAACATGGGCCGGTGATCAGCTTCAGGGGGTTACAGGTTGGTGATGGAGATTGGAGTACCTTTAGCAACTGTCGCACTTCCGAACTAATTGGGCGGCATCTTGCTTCATCGTCAGCCAAAAGTAGCCCTGTCGAAGTGCCTTATGGGCCAATGTGCGTGCGCCATGGTTATCTCCATAAATGCCCTCATGTATCTCCCTAAGGACGTAGTCTGCTTCGACTAGGGGAAGACACTTCAGGTATGGAAGAGTGTGGGAGTGGCAGTAGAGCTAGCCCTGGATAAGGCAGTACCGGGCTGCTCTGTGTTGGAGTTTCTTCGCTTCTACTTGGTCTTTGGGGAGAGCGCCTTCTCGAAGATACTCG